CTCAACGAGTAAGAATCAAACAAGTTCGAATGGAATTGAAACAACGTCGTCAATTTGGTTTGGCGACAGTGAAGCTTTTGTTCTTGCTCAAGGCGGTTTAACTAGTTTTTTTTGGTGTAGTGTAGGTTCAGTCAATAAATTTATAATTGTTTAAGGATTTTGATGCTTTCATGAATGTTTTGATAAACCAATTAATGCTGTTAAATCATCTTTTATTGTAAAACTAACAAATTTCTTCCACGTATATTCAAGATATGCTTCTAAATATTTTTGTCTACTTAAATAAATATAATATTAGAACATAAATTATTATTTAAAAGTTTTCTTTTATCTAACTTTTGGTATCCAAGGCAATTCTTTCATAAGTAAAGTTGAAGTTGAATTGATACTTAATACATTATTAACTAATGATGTCATTGATACCAATGAACTAAGAGATGGAGGCCAATGTTTTTATTATTGTAAGTGCTTCATTCATCGTAACACCTTTTATCATGTGAAGAATGATCAGAGACCATTGTTCATTCATGAATGCTTTAGTCAAACCAAGCATCATTACAAACATCGAACCGACTTCAATAATTTTCATTCTCTCTTGACGATTGAGAAAAGTCATAGTCAGTTCGGTTTTAATCATTCTTTTCAAACTTCTTCTCTAGGGAGGGATACTTCTCATAAGATCGATGGTCATTTCTGGTGTCAGAAGTCGTACAATGTCACCATATTGAAATCGGATAAAAGTATGTGAGAGATGATCTTCAGATTGAATGATCATTTTTTTAAGGAAAACTCAAAGGACATCTCATTTAGTAGAAGAAAATACTAATTAATATTGGTTCATGTTTCGTCTTTAGATCAAACTCTCGACTTCCGACTTTGTTATATCAATTGTCCGTGGTCCAGAAATATGATAAATTTGTAAATTTTCTTTGAAACAAAGACGCCCGTTTCTATTCTTTTTCCCGAGCTGCATCATATCTGTCAATAGATTTTAACCTAAAGGATATGGAATAAAGTAATAAGAGCTTTTATTTTAAATTAAAAAAATCCTTTGAAAAAGTTCTATAATATTGACATATTATCTCAAATTGGATACATATGATGGAATTATCTTGATATAGATCAAACATCGTCCCGAAATATCATCAAATTCAATTTTGATAACGTGAAATCGAGCCCCAGATCTCAATAATATTTCTTTTTCACTTTAAAAATATGTATTTGTATTCAAATACGTAAATTGATTATTAGGTGTATAACGTCGCAATTCAATAATATACAAAACATTTCTTCCAAATGTTTCAGCAACATCACGGTTCAATGAAGTCGAAACGAATGGAAGCCATTTAAAAAATATATCTTTTCGTCGAATTGCCTGTTGATATTCTTCTATCTTTTCACGCGAAACATAACCGCCACGATAGACAATCATAGATTGAGATTCAGTTGGGTGAATTACTTGTGAAAGACGACGATGAATTGAAAAATTATCTTTCATATGTCGACCAATATAGTTATAAACTAGATAACAGTATGGACCCAATGTTTCAAGTTTAGTTCGATCATCGTCTCGTAATGCTGTATTGACAACACGAAAAAGAAAACATTGTTTTGTATACAATTTGGCACAACAATCTTGTAATTTTTTCATTCTTTTTCGAGTATTCTTCTTAAAAATTTCATCTTTGACCAAATTCAAAGTACATATTATTTCTTTTACTGAGAATACATCCTATTCCGCAATGTTGAACATTGCGGCATCGATTCCGCCCCCGGAATTAATTCCACCGATTCCGGAACCGAATCAACCCCACTTACAATCAATTCCGAAATTTCTCGCATCAATTCCGGAATTAATCGCATCAATTCCGGAATTAATCGGACTGATTCCGGAATTACCCGGCTAGATTCCGGAATTGCTCACTGGCATTCCTTCTAGCCCTCACCCTCAACATTGGCTATTGTGCTTAGAACAAGCGAGCGATTCCGCTGAGGAATTTCCGGAATTGAATTGATACGGAATCAGTAGGAATTCCGGAATTGAATTGACACGGAATCAGTAGGAATTCCACGGAATTCCGGAATTGGAAGAAGCGATTCCGGATCCGGAATTGGAAGAAGTGGTTCCGGATCCGGAATTACACGAAGCGATTCCGGATCCGGAATCGGTGCTTGGAATTCCGGAAGTCCGCGGAATTCCGTGCAATTCCTACTGATTCCGTGTCAATTCAATTCCGGGAATTCCTCTGCGGAATCGCTCGCTTGTTCTAAGCACAATAGCGAATGTGAGGGCGAGGGCCAGAAGGAATGATAGTTAGGGATTCCGGATCCGGATTTGGGAGCATGTGGTTCCGGAATTGTGGGAATCGATTCCGGAATCGATTGAAGTTGTGGTTGGATGCAGTTCCGGAATCGTCGGATTCAATTCCGGGTGCGGAATCGATTGCACGATGTTGAACATCGCGGAATAGGATGACTGCTCCTTTAACTATATTTTCTGGTTCATTGCATCCTTCATATTTCAAACCATTTATAAGAGCGGGAAATACGGCATCAAATGTCACATCAAGTTTGCCATTAGTGAATGATAATAACCAATCTCTAACAAATTGTGAACCATGATAAGTTGTATCCACAGTTGTACTATTTTGTCCATTCATATTTAAAGAAAACGATAATCTTTCATGACGAGGACTTTCAACTTCAGTTTTTTCATCATTCGTTAAAAATGCTTTAAATTTTTATCGTCGAATAGGTTGTTGTCGTTTTGTTTCTTCAATATATTCTTGAACAAATTCTATAAAATCAATACTATATAGTTCGTCGATAAATGTGTGATCAGCACCACTTTTAAACGCTTTTTCCAAAGTTGATGATGTTTTAGTGGGGGTAAGGAGTCCACACGGTAGACTGACTACTATTACACGGAACTACATTTGTGTGCTATACCCAGATGAATTCAGATCCAGTTGATGCTAATGAAATTGGACGTACAGAAATTAATTTTACTGATGATCTCATGTTGTCAGTGCTAGGATCAAAACAACATATATATGGTTCTGGGTGCGAGTATTTATAATCATTTACACGCATTTGTATAATACTCAAGTTTTATTTGAGTAAGGATTTTTTGTTTTTCGTTTCAATAGAGCGAAATTAAACATGACTCAGTTCTTTACATAGTTATCGGCCAAGGAGAAAAAAAGCATTCTCATAAAACACATCTGCCAAATCTGATAGAACACTATTGAAAAAAAACACATTGACATTCTTGCCATGTGTACGAATAATGTAGGCTACATGCAAAAAAAAATCAGAGAACAGTATAATTCGATGACGGAGGGTGTGGATGTGAATGTGGGTGGTTGGGTGCGGGTGTAGTTAGAAAATAGAATACCCGCACCATCACCCACACCATAGATTCGTCGCTGTGGTGGGTGTGGAGTATGAATGTGGATGGTGGATGTGCAGTATGGATGTGGATGGTGGATGTGCAG